GTAAACTTTTCCCACTCCCGGTTTACACCCAGCGACACGGGTACAAAGATCTCAGCTTTTTGCGCCACGAGAATATATTGAATGGAGACGGGCTGTTGGGAAAGGTTCTTCGTCATTCATACGTATTTCTTCTCTGCATTCATTGCGCGTGCATTTTTGCCCTGTTTGAATGATTTCTTTTAAGTTGGGCGTCTCAAGCAGAAGGTGATGCTCACGCTAATAAACCAAGGTCGGAAAGAAGAAGCAATGTACGGATAACGTTCAGACCGACCCTGCTCAAGTTCGTTCCAGAGACCGGACGGAAAGAGATGAACATTGAGTCGGGTTGGCCCGATGTTATCAGGATAGACCACCTCCTCAATGGTGGATTCTGAAGAGACGATTCTTGGTTTTTATTTGAGGATTGTTTGTCGAACCTCCGAACTCTGACCAAAGTTGTTTCATTACATTAAGTCTGTATTCCTTGTGCTCCTTTTCCTCAATTACTCGCTGGAATTAGGCAGTTCTTTGACGTTTACAGGCAGCCTGTATGGAGACTGACACTCTTCCCCTTGGACCGTTTCTTAATGGGGCATAAGGGGGTAATTACGTGTTCTCTTTCGCATGCGTACTGCTACGATTTGTCCTTGCTTTCTTCTATTATCCTGACTAAGATCATGGGGCACATTCTCCTATAGTCCTGACTCAATCACACAACAATGGCACATCTTTGTTTAATACTGGATCTTGTCATACTCATTGCGGTTATGCTTTACTAATTCAAGCTCAATGAAGTCTAAACGGGTGGGTAGTTCCTCGGAGCGCAGGGGGTTGGGGGTAGACCAGCAGAAATTCCGTTGCAGTACGTTTTATTGCATTTGATCTAAATAATATTTCCACTGTGATATACATTTTTATTGTAAACACATGGAAAAAGTTACACCCAAGTTGAAAATAAATAGTGATAATTACAAGTGTACAATTTGACCCTAGTAATAATACTATGAATGTACAGTTCTGACTGAATAGCCTTCTTGTACTGGTCGAGGCCCCCCTCTAATCTGTGTCACTAATTTGTCTTTGCACAGCCAGACTGCGTTGCAGCACAGTTTAATGAGATGCTCATCGTGAGATACAAGTAATACTACCTCCCTGCACCCAGTAGAACCTCACATAAACACAGCACACTATCTTAACATTATACATAGGATGTTTGGGTATAAGAGATTTTCACCCACTCACAGAAAACATGCAGATAGATGTGTAGGATGATTGAGGTATATAGGGAATAAATAAAACATAATTTTGCATTTAGGGCCTGCCTCCTAAACACACAGCAGACTATATAATTAATACTATTCCTCCTATGCAGGCAGTGAGTGGATTCAGTGACTTCAGTGCTGCCAAAAGGTAAATCGTGCATAGAATGCCAAAACCATAATTTTTGAGGTGAAAAAAAATTAAAATTCCACCCGATCCTATATTCTCTCAGACTATGGACGCAGTGCAATGCAACTATCTACGCTGTCCAAAAAAGGTATGCAAATGATTTAAACTTAGGATTATTTTAGGAAAAGATAAGGTTGAAAAAAATAAAAACATTCGTAGGCGAAATAAGAGTGGCCATGTAACTGCCTTACCCATGGATGTTTTAGGCAAAAGTTGAAAAAAAGAGTTAAAAATATATAATGGGCCAGCCCTCAATCTCTCCAGACAGACATCTACGGACGCAGTGACGATGCGCACAGAACTATACGCTGCCCTTTGAGAAAATTGGTGTCAAGTGGTAGATTCGTGGGTAAGGGGAGGACCGAGCTGTTCAGCCAATGCTCTGGACCACCTGTCAGTTTCAGGCGGGTCCGGGATTCGAACCGCGGCACCTTATGTGACAGTCCCACGTCTCTAACCACTTAGCACTCGGGCTGGCCACGAGAGACTTATGAAAAAACGTTCCTCTTATATCAACACTCATTACATCATTATAAAAAAAGATTGACCACTAGACAGGGATCGAACGGTGACCTCGGTTATCATAAGTGAGTCCTTAACCTTAGACCACACCCAATACTTGACAGGGGCAGGTTTTAATAGTGTTAGAATTATAGTATTATATGATGGCAGATTTGGAGTATGACATAATTATCGGAAATTACTCACAGGGAGGAATCTATTGAGGGTTTTCCTAGTGCTTCCACGACTCCACATCCAAGTGGTTTGTCGGCTCATCAAATATGAGAAAAGAGGAAAGAAACGGGCGGGATGAGACACAGAGGAACGGAAAAACGGGGGTATCAACCTCCACAGAGACATCTCACCCATCCTTCCGGAGCAGTATCATCACCACATAAAAAACAAGCATATTAGTCAGGACTAAGTCGTACACTAACGTGCTCTAAAACTCCCTGTTTAATCGAAACTTCGCACCTCCATTCACAAACCCACAACAACGTCCATCTTCAATAAATGCTAACCCGTTCTAAACGTGAGCCAACCATTTATCACATCTACCGTTCCACCCCGTGGAGAAAAGTACAGCAACTCCCCACCCACGTATAGAAACCGCGAACCCAAAATTCCCAGTCCCAGCTCCACTTATAAGAAATCTCCACAATCAACCGGCCAATCACCCCTTCATCACTAAAAATTTCTCCTTTTACAGCATATTAAATAGGCGCCTCCAATTCCATTATGACGGAACACCTTGTATACTCCAGATTAATTTCATTGCGAATTTGGATATACCTAACCACCCGCCCAAGTGGCGACGAAAGCCTTAGAGGCTACACGGTCCCACCCTGCCCTACTGAACTCTTTCCAAAAACAGTACTTACCTTACTCCAGAAAATACTAATGTCGAGCCAGCCCGACCACTATCCGCAAAATTAACTCAGCAATCACCCATCATGACGACCTACAGCTCTGAAAATCCAAATCAACCTAAAGGATTACAGGGGAAAAGCCTTCTGCTGTTTTTTGCTTCTTCCCCTCCAACAAAAGATAAAAACGGCCTATACCACAATGGTCTAAAGGTATTATTTTAACCACCCGATAAACATAATATATCATAACTTAACGAAAAGTCAAGAGTCCACACATCCAACAATCGGGTAAGTGCGACACTTGGAAATAGGAACAAGTGTCTATCTACGAGTAATCATTAATCAAAACCTCATAATACTAAAAAGTTGTCACTATGGTTAAACACCTCAAATGTACATCGTAAAAAATAATAATCACAAAAGCTGTAGGAAAAGAAGAAAAAGTTGGGTCTGAAAGAATATAACACAGCCAATAGCACCGGGAACACAAACAAATAAGTAAAAAACCTGGTGGTTACGCTGGTATGTGTATGTGTTATTCCTGTGTTACACTGAGTAAGTTTGCCTTTGCCTTGTATCGTGTTGTATAGTGGGCAGCTAATAGTGGGCTTAATGGAGCTCTACCTGCTGAGCTGCCATGGTAGTGTCCTGTCGTTTGATGCTTTCATGATTCGTGCAAATGTTATCACAAGTACGATAGTACTTACAGATGGGCATGGTACCTAGCATGATAGATGTACGGGCTATGATAGGGATTCTATGGCATTTTGAGCATGTATATACCGACCTTGGAACAGCCAAGATGGCAAAGGCTAGGCGACTCTTCTGTCCCCCAGAGAGGGAGGCAATGGGCCTCAGTGCCAGATCAGAAGACACTCCAAACATCCCCAGAGCATGTCGGTACTCCTCCTCCCTCTTTCCTGCAGTATGGGGTTAATACACAGTGGAGACACCTCTAAACTGGACCCCAATGGGACAGAATGAAGTGCATATGTATCCTTCTTAGTTTGGTGTTCATATTACATGAAATAGGTGTTCTTGGGAAGACCTTTCATGTAGAGGTGTCCCTATTTTAGCTGTGACTTTTAGGTAAAGCCTGTTTGTTACTTTCCAAGGGTATATAATACACCAGTGAAGAGAGAGATGGTTAGCTGGGGGGTTTTGCTGTAACTAAAGCTGCTATATACTACAGTATGTAGCACTACCAGGAAGGGTAGTAGCCTTTGTGAAAAGGCATCCAAAGAAAAGCCTTACCTACATACCAAAGCACTAACATGTGGGCAACCATCCTACTCCACTAGAGTTACTCTCAGAATGTGGTGAGGCAAGCAGAACTACTAGTGGAGCATTATGGGAAAGCCAGACTGTGTGAACATTGTTACTCACTCACCTGGAAACTTCTGTTGCATGAATTCCAGTGCAGTCACGTCCATGACAAGTTGGTCCACGTGATGCTGACTGAAGAAGGCTGTCTTCAAACTTCTACGGAATAAGAATAGCATATTCACCCAAGAGAGGGGAGCCTACATAATTATTATCTGCATCTCAACATACTAGTAACTACACTGTCAACTAGGATATACGTACGTGTTTGGAAAACATGTAAGTTGTTGGTTCAAGGTGAAACCTGAGTTAAGTCAATGAGTTTTGTCATGCGTACTTGCTTACAGCGTTGGAGAGTTTGAGCGAAAAATACAAAGATGCCAATTCTGTGAAATCAGGAAACTCATCTCCAACGACCTTTGTTGTCCTAAGAATACATCGTCTCTCTCACCTGTGAGCCTGTCTGTAGCCTTCCTGAGGCGACAGCTCTCCAGTCAGTAGCTTCACTAGTGTCGTCTTTCCCGCTCCGTTCTCTCCTACCTTCGCAACACACAGCAGAGAGATTAAGTCACTGCATTCTTACGTGTTCACGGCTAATTTCAAAATTTACTCCGCTACCATCTTCTTTCTCTAAGGACACCCCTGAAACGAGGAACCCTCTCTATAATAAGGACACCTTTTCTTTCTCTAACAACGGTTCTTGCATGCAGGTTAACCCCTGAAAACCTCACAGATATAGACACTTCTGTCTATCACGTGAATAAGACGGGTATCACTGCACTGTAGAGATTATAAAATAACCTGTATCTATGCATTTCTTACAAGTGCTATTCTGGACTCCATATCTGCATTGATGTTCATGTTCTTGAAAACAACTTCCTTTCCGTACCCAAACGTTATCTGTTCACGGTTGAATAAACATGACCAGGTGTTTGTGGAAACATGTAGCATGCACAAGGCACACTTTGTGTGTGTGTGGTGTGTGTGTGTTTAAAATGAAAATGATGCCACCCAAGTAAACGTGTACATATGTATGTATGTACACATACAGCTAAGGCATAGAGAGCTATATATGCTGTACTTTCGGTAAGTTTGCTTACACTTCTTAGTATTGTGGGTTATGCATGAGAATTTTAATCATGCTCTGAAAATGCAGAAACTATACTATCCTACGTTGCTAGCTCAACCTTGTCCTAGACCTACAAAGAGTATTATCTAGCTTGCAATTCATACTTTCCACACATCCGTTTGCACCATGAAAATTCTACGATGACGATAAGTGGGACTTGTACACAATGGTAGCTAAATACCTCAGAGAGCTGCAGGATCGGTGGTGAGAGTTTGTCAACTTCAGGAAACCTACACACGTGATTGTATTGACTGGATAGATATATTATGTTTGCTATTCACATTCCAAGACCACACCCTCAGTAGAGGAAAGGGTCCGGTGACAGTTGTATGATTGCTGACTTAAACACTGAATGAGATTGAAATATTTGCTACTTGTGCGAAATTAGTATGCAATTGTTCTTATACAGACTCACGAAAACAGCGGATCTGCATACAAAATAAGGCTTTTAATACATGCCCTCCATTACTATCGCTCTGCAGTCACCAGACCACTTTCATCTTCAGATGGAGGAGTCTAGGCACAAGACTAAATAAGGAAGAAACCAAGAAATTGGGAGCATTGCTATATACCTATATACCTATACCAAGCTGCTGAAGTTGCAACCACATAATTATTATGCAATCTAGATATACCTTGAGAAAGTTGTACTCAATAATCACAAGTAATCTAGTAAATCATCAGAGTAAGTAAATGGTCAGATGGTTCTGGTCTGCCTTATAATAGCAGGAGACATGTAAGGGCCTCATATTCCGAACAGTGTGGTAAACTACGTATAATTATCAGTGAATGCAGAATGTGAAATTTCAGGACTTAGAATTACGTTGTACGTAGCAGCACAGAATGAACCGGTATGTGGCCTGCCAATTAATGTGTGTATGTGCACAGCTCCACCAGTAACCCTGCCAACTACTGCCCTTGTTTAAAACCAGAAGACATGTAGTTAGTTTATACCTCGACGAGACACAGAGACTCAAACCACAATCAAAACGTTCAATACAGGACAGGTAAAGAAGAGAGCCTCCTCACTCACCTCAGAATTACTTCTTGCTCAGCCACCACTGGTGTTAGCTCTGGCCTACAAGAACCATATTGTACACACACAAATTGATGACTCTATGATATATTGGATATGCACATATGATGTATTGGATATATTGGCTCACAGTTTCTCCAGTATCTTTAGTCTACTCTGGGCCTGTGATGATCTTTTTGCATTATATCTCCATCGGTCCACAAACGCCTGTGATATAAAGTTCACGCCATTATGTATATGTATTCACATACATAATACTCTCCCAACCCTGAAATAATCTTTCATTCGTCTGTGGAGAGCCAACCTGTATATACACACTTGTACATCTGTGTCAGAGGGGCTATTCGTCATCCGTAAACATTTTATTAAGAGAACGTGGATGATGATGAAAAAATTGACATGACCAGGCTAAAAATGACATGCGCCAACCATGCTACTACATACACAAGTGTAACAGCCCACACTTCCTCACATGACATGACTAAAGAAGAAACGGGTAAATGAGATAAAGATAAAACGAGAGGGTTCTAAAGTTCTAAGTTTTTCACATGACTAAAGAAGAAAAAGGGAAAAAGAGAGGGTTTCTAAGTGGATGCATAGGCGAAGTATGTGTCAGTGTATCATGTATATATGCCAGTTACCTGGAGATGCTGGCGATACTGCATCTGAGCCTCATATTCTCTCTGTTGGCTCTTTAGCTTCTCAGTCTTTGTCTGGACAAATGTCTGCATGTTTCAGAGACAGTCACAACACCTTATAATAGATGTCATAGATTTAAACCTTCCGTAATTGTTTAGGACACAAAAAATGAATTATTCTTCTGCTGAGGTGTTCGTAAAAGCAAAGTGCATCAAGGACATGCAAATTCATGACATTCCAAGCATTGATACTGTTTACATGCCGAGTGCAAGGTTAATGTGGGCACTTGTATGTATGTATGTATGTATGATGCTTAGTGAAGAGTTGTTATGTATGTACATAACATTACGCAACACCATCACATACTCAGAGCAGTGTGCTTGCACAATAGAGTCATGCTCTACGGATTCATGCTTCCTTGCCAAAAACATTGCTTTTACGTTGTATGTACATATTGATCTCTAGTACGCATGTATTATGTATGTATGTATGTATGTATGACATGTATGTATGTACGTACGTATGTATGTTATGGTACGTATGTTGTGTATGGTACCTCATAGTTTCCTTTGTAGAAGTCAAGTCTCTTGGAGTGCATGTGGATGATATCAGTACAGACTGAAGTGAGGAAGTGTCTGTCGTGAGACACAACCAGAATGGTCGACAGCCACGTCTGCAAACACACGAAGAAAAACACATGATTTTGGTTGCGTTTGCGAAAAATTGCATCCCCACAAAATGAAGTTCACTCCTCCATTGAGGTTTTCTGCCGCAAAAACTAAGAACCAGTACCACGATCTCCCTCTTAGAGCATTATAGAGAGCAACACACCTGAACTCTAATTCACTATCGCCAATAGACTTAGTTTGCTACACACATAGAATTTCATGAGCAAATGGACTATGGTAGGAGTAAGACGAGGAAGGAGAGAAAGAAGATAAATAAGAACATGACACAGACAAAAATAAAAAGTAAGTGGTGTTGTAAAACATACCAATAGATAGTCTTCCAGCCAGAGAACAGCTCTCATGTCCAACATGTTGGTAGGTTCTGCGTGACACCGACAAACACTGATGACAAGAGGCACTAGTTTCAGAGTGACAGGGGCTCACCGTCAAGAAGGAGGAGGTCTGGTCTGGACAAAATGATCATTACCATGTAACAATAGACCATGTGATGCCCATGCACACACTGTACACCATAATATAAAACAACAACAAGGTATATAGCAAGGGCAAAGGTCGGTTTTCATTTGAGACTAAGTTTTGAGTCACCACAATTTGCTGGTCAGCATTTTACATTGTTGCTTAGCTCGTAACCCATGTTCATAACCTGTTCTTCTAGTGTTAAATGAAGCAAACATGGCGCAAAGAAACAAGTCGACTACACCCAGGACAACTCAAAAAGAAGATCTGCCATTCAAACCCACGATGCTCTGCCGTCTAGGCATGAACGTTTCGATGCAGGGCTAATGTTTTCCGTTTGAGAGCCTTCCGTGAAGCATTTTTGCAAAGTTCTCTTCTAAAATTGAGGGGACCACCATCGGATCACCACTTTGAACTACCGCGGGCGCCGCTGGCACACGTCCCCAACTATTCACCCCCCACAGTTTCCCTATTGCATGGTACGCTATTGTAGCTCCACCTACATACTATAACAGTGACTTACTTGGTGAAGAGTGCTCTAGCCAGTGCAAGACGCATCCTCCACCCACCAGAAAACTGCCTACAGAGCATATCAACAAAGTGATGTGGAGCAAAATGTATGGTTTAAATCACTCAGTAGTACAACTCGTGGGGACATGAATGGCAAGATAACTTATCAGTGTTTGCCTTCAGATAATACGTTGATCTTTCCTTTGTCAAGAACTGGCATGGTACCATATATAGCGGGAACTTGTGGACTCTCCACTACCACAAAAGATTTTGTGGGCAGGGATATTACTTTTGTATTGTGGGCCAGGCAATACTGCGAAAGATTTCTCCTGGAAATCATTGTCTACTATACTACATAGCGACAGTTTTTTACCCCTCTCAAATGTTTCCCGCCACACACCAACTTGTTTGTGCGCAGGCGACATGGAAAGTAGCTGACAGTGCAACTAAAAGGGTATCCACCTGAAGGATATTCACAGAGCAGTGAATCTCGGAGGATGAGCTAATAAGGAAAAGCTGCTGACTAGTAGTCACGAGACCAGTATATACTCACGAGACTAGTACTTGGTCCCCGACTAAATAACCTCAAAGTTAGTTTGACAGCGGCTCAAATTCTGCATCAAACTACCACCAGTAATCCTTGGAGAAATGGCGGACATCCCAACTAAGAGTGGGCTAACCAGCCTATACAATGAACGTGTGGTGAACGTTGAGCGAATGGAAAGGCCAATGAGCAGCTCGGGCAAAGGTCTGCCTCTTGTTGTTCCACATCAGGGAGTAAGGTAAGCTCCCAATAGTACAGTTTGGTGAAGCCTGAGCAAGCACTACCAAGGATTTTGTCTATGTCAATCTACTGCCATCCGTTCCGTCCTTCTGTAAAAACTGCCCCTTTCTCCAACGTAGCTATTATGCAGATGCACGTTTTTTGCACGAAGAAGCTAGGCATGTACTGCTGACAAAGAATTCGAAGATTATACAATGAGACCCAATGTGCTACACTTTCTAAAACAGCAGCGAGACTTGCTCCATGATGTCACTGTGAAACGTTCATTGGTACAGAGTCACTACGGAGAGTGGGCAGCAGCATTTGGTTCACAAGGGCTCGGGGTTTGGAAAGTCAAGTGAGACGGTCGTCACTGGCGCAGCCAACATGTCCAGCAATTGGCAGGTACAGTTTCTCTATCACCTACAGAGCCATGTTGTGTGAACTTTCCCAAGTCTATGGCAATTCATGATTTCTCCTAATCAGCGAAATTCTCCGAAGCTTTCTTGTAACTAAAATCATTAGAAGAAAGCTTCAGGAATTTCGCTGATTTTAAGAAATCATGAAAGTATTTTTCAGGAGTACTATGAATTACATGCCCGTGGTCGCAAAAGGTGTTCAGTTATACTCTATGTATCTGCTGCAGGTGAAGGAGACCAGAAGTGTCAGTGGTCATACCGTCGGAGATTTTGTGAAGACTGGCGGGACCAACTACAGTCTGGTCGGTGACAACTGCATTCATGGGGCCTCCAGAATGACCGGGCTTGGCAACAAATGAACTAAGGATGAACACTGAAGTTGTGCATGGACTACTCTTTAGCATCAAACTATAGTCAAACGAGCTAGTTCCCACTCACACAAACATTTTATAAAACGCTAACTTTGTTGGAAAACTCTGTGCTTCTGCCGAGAATCCCAATCCTGCCAGAATTGAAGCTGCCCTGGAAGAAAAGTGAATGCATCAGAAAAATGCTCCATAGATACACGGGCAAAATTATGCACATAAACTAACAAGTTATGAAAAAGCATTATAATAGCAGTGGCTAACTGCAGTACTAGAGTTACAGACAGAGAGACAGACAGACAGACAGACAAACCCAGTACCGCAACCCTCACTGCACTGCACATGTGCACTACTAGTAGGAGGGTTAATGACATAATTAGAGGAGGGTTAATGACATAATTAGAGGTGCCCAAAGCTTCTAAAGGCACTGTAGTGTATTGTGTCTGCTCACTTGGCAGGTGCCTTGTCAGCTTCAATCTCCTCCAACCTGGCATACAGCTGCATGGGGGCAAAATGAGAGAGTATCTCATTACTTGGTTGTCATGGTAGAGGCCAAACAAAGCAGACAGGATTAACCGCAATACAACCAGTTTTAAACTGGTCTCTGCATACCTCGGGGAGCGATGTGTCCTCTTCTGGGGTTGTTCCAGCCCTGGAACAAACATGGGGAAATGCTGGTACATGGTCTATTACACAGATGCAGTTGGCTAATGTGCTCCAATTGGCGAGCGAAGCGAACCTACATTATCTAGTCCGCACAATGCAGATTTTGGTATGTGACGGGCACTGCACATACATACGTAATACTTACCGTAACACTAAAAACCGCACACCTCTCTTTTGTTGTCCCTTTACCAAGCCACCAGTAAGGGTGTCAGCGGTTTTGCATTTATTATCGGCACATTAGTTGAAGAAGAGACTGACTAACTATCCTTAATGCTTTGACTATAGTTGGAGTATGGAATAGTAATGTACTGTACTTTATTACCAAATCTCCACTGTCACAGTAAGGGTGTCAACGCAACACTCCTTCCCTTTATACTACCCTTCTACCCACTTTACTACCATCTCCCCCCACCCTCCTCACCTCTTCACCCTGGCTATCAGCTCCCCTCTCTCGAAGTCACACTCCAACACACTCTCCAAAGCACTGCCCTCTCCCCTCTCCACCTCCTGCTCCACATGTAGCACCGTCAGGTGAGACGGAAGCCGCAGTTCTCGACTGGCTATTGATCTCAGCAGCGTCGTCTTCCCCGTGCCATTCCTCCCTACTAGACCATATCTCCTGCCAAATGTTAGGCCCAGGTCTGCCCCAGACAGCAGAGTCCTGGAACCAACATTACACACACACACACACACACACACACACAAAATCGTAACCCTACTATATTCATGCAACTTGTCGTTAAAGGGAACGAGGGAGTATATGTAGGTAGTATGATAGCATTCTTTCACTGGGCCTTGTTGTTTAGTTCTATCTCATATGAGTAGTGCCAGAATAAGCGTCGACACACACACACACAGACAGACAGAACAGACAGACAGAACGACTACTGTAACCCTCGCTGCGCATGCGCGCCGAGGGTTAATAATATATAGCTCTTATGTACTGTAATTGCACATTCCCTTAAGAGCTGACTTTTGTCCGTAGGAGATGTCAATGTTCTCAATCTTGAGGTCATATGTGAGTCCTCCGGACGCCTCTGCTCTGTCCAGCTGTTTGTTGGCTGACTGGCTGGTAGTGGGTCCTGACAATGCTGGACTACTGCAGTAGGGAGAGAGGGAGAGAGGAGGATGGAGGAGGAGGGAGAGAGGGAGAGGAGGGAGGAGGGAGGTGTCCATATTAGTGATGGAAATGTGTACGGTGTTAGACTGGAACTACGAAGTTATGGAACAGACGAAATTGAATAAGATACAGGGTGCATGGCATATGGCCGCCACATACACAATCGCCAGGGAAAAGTGTGTAGAACATGATTTGAAGGTTTCATGCTCGCTTTTTGTTCATCTTGTGCAACTGCGTGATTCCTGTATACATTTGACAACATGCACCCAAATGTCTTAAAATATCCTAAATCTTGGGGTTCTAGTTTGTCTTCTGACGAGTTGCATCATCTTCCTACAGTTAAATTGAGGAAGATCCATTGTAGGCCTTTTCCTTCCTGCCCTCCCACTCTCTTCCTTGTCATACTTCTTCCCTTCCTTTCTGGTCCCCCTCTCCTTCCTCTTGTCCTCCCAGGGCAAGGCACCCCTTCTTCTAAACCACAACTAAACAATTGCATGGCCTCTACCGTTTTATACTTATCGATAACTTCCATAACTTGGTACCCTGTGAGTATTTTTTTCCACCTCCCCCCCCTTGCTTTCTTCGTGTCAGTGGTCCATTATTAAAAAAGTCCAATAGTTATGGCTAGCACAGGCTTCTTCTTTACTTCTTCCTTTACTTTTTCCCCTTCTCCTCCCTCCCTCCTCCTCATATTGGATTACTCACCCTTTGCTGGCAGAGGCAGAGGTGGTGTCTCTCTGAGTTCTCTTCTCCAGTTTCTGTTTCAGTTTGGCCTCTGCTTTATCCAACTTCTTCTGGTCCACCAGCTATGTATATTAGTACGCCATACAACATTCACCATAATCACAGGGAGAAAACCTTCATTTTGGTAATGAGTACGAATTACGCGAAGAGAACTTTGTAAAGTTTGTCTTTTGCAAAAAACTATCCCGTTTAGAGAAAAAATGTTCACTTGTGAGCAATGACTCTTAACCACAATATTATTATGGTCCTCTCTCAACCACCACAGTAAACCCTAACATGATGTACAAGTTCATATACATACGTACATATCTGGTGTCTGGAGCCTTCATCCACATGCTGCTAACTGTCTCCACATCACTGCTACCTTGAGGTGGTAGAAGGGAAGGAAATAATTCCAAGAGAGAGAAAAAGAGGCCCCCTCTTATTCTTCTTCGAGAGAGTTATGTATGAAAGCATAAAACCCTGCATTAGTGTGACTGGCCCATACCTGTACTTTTGACCTGCTCAGCAAGGTTGACAGGTGCAGCCAGTAGCTTGCGATCCCCAGCCTCACTCTCTCTCTCCCTGTATTAGTACACGTAATTATACTACCGGCATCAAAATTACAAAGTTATAAGCATGCATACAGTACTCGCTGTATGTACAGGTCAAAGCACGAAACCCTGCAAAACCTTTATGGGCGTAGAGAAGCGTACATACAATGTAAAGAACGAAAGTGAATATTTGTGTTTGCAAATTAACCTTCTTGTGCTCACCAATAATTATACCTGCAAGTTTTTTCGTGCATGTAAAATGTATTCTAAAATTCTGAGAATACACGAGTAGAAATGGACAGACATACCCGAGAGCGATGGAGAAGAGCTGCTGGCAGAGGAAGTGTACGTCTCTCCCCTCCTCGTCCTCTCCCAGGGCCCCCTCTATCATACCTCCCAACGCCTCATACAGCTCCTCACTGCTCTCAAAATCCTCTGGTGACTCCAACACTCCTGTAGATATGTACGGAAACACGTTTCTGACACACGATTGCCGTGCCACATCGTGGATGAGGGCCAGGGAGTTTGTAAGGAAAATTACTATATAGCAATGCATTTTCGACGATTGCGAAATTTCAGCGGGTTATACAATGAGTATATGTATAACATTGTTGTATGTGTGACAGTGTTGGGTATCATGCAATAGGTGGGCTAGCTTTGGTCACCAATTACACCTCGGCTTAGTTGAAGCCAGGATAAAGCTAGTTGAGTTCACGTTCGATCCCTGTTCATGTTTACTTAAGTAGCCAAATGGAATAGATCTTCTCCAATGCCTTGCATGTGTAGTATGTACATCCTGTCTTTGTGTACCGATGGCTCTGTGTGTTAGTGTGTTGACCTCTGCCGGGTCTCACCATTGATATAGTCGATGAGCTCTGCATCTAACGACGGACAAAAGCTGCTCCAGTACCGCTGTGGCAGACATCCACTCGCTTTTCTTCCGTCTGCTGATCTGGTGGCCACGTTTCGACCTTCGACCTCCGTGGGTGGGCATTTATTGGAACATTATTCCAGCGCGGACTTGAGTTGTCTTTCTACATTCCTACCTAGCTCCGTCCCTTCTCCATGGCTGGGAGGGGTGGTCCGCGAGCTGCGCGGTCACTGACGGCTCCGACTTCACCCACAGGGAAAAGGTGGCGAGTCACTACCAGACGAGCGTGGTGCTCAAATACAGATTCAAACTTTTGCTCTGCGTCCAGTCAGCTCTCGCAGTCCTTTGTCTCGCCGTTGGCTTCCTCGTCCGCTACGACTACTGCTTCCTCCTCACTTTTTCTGGCTACCTCGTGGGAGTTCCACTTGCCTACCTTTCCCTAAGGTAAGTTATATAGCTACATATTATGGATATACACATAGTGCTTTTTCCTATGTTAGAACGGTAATACTCTGCCGTTTGCAAAAGTTCAGCAGTTCAATGATGTGCAGTTCTTTAGGTATAACACTACGATAGGTTTGGCCAGCATTCGATCTATTCTTTTCAGGAAGAACAACGTCGGTTTCATCAACACGTATGGGACGGCTTGCTCCATGCTCGGTGTCTTCCCCATGATGTTCATCATCTATCTATCAGTCTGGACCGGTACTCTGGATAGATATAGGACACTGAGACTCGTGTCAGCTACACTAGTGGTAGTGGCGAACGCACTGGGGATGTTCATCGCCAAGAACCTCATGATTGCATGGACAAACAAAACCAAGAGTCAGTAGCTCTTTTTTCAGTATCACACAGCTGTACTAGAAACTTGTGTATATGTGTGTGGATGTGAAATTTTTTGTGGAGTTACCAGAGATGCGATCACTCATGCGCATCCACGCCCTTTGACGCATGCGCAACATGAGGGCAAAACCGTACTCTCACTCCAGACCTGTGAGCGAGAAGCTGGTTGTTATAGGCGATTTAGAGACGTGATTTATGACCGTGAAAATCTACCAACTAAGGAGCTGTTACCATGCCGACAGAAACATCTAATTTGCTCGTGGATTTCCAATTAGTGCCACCCTCACCAGACAAACCCGCCGAGACAGATGAAGAGGATCGACACGAGTGTAATTTTTCGACACAAGAAGAAACTACTACACCAGTGACCTTTTTTGCGCCAACAGTATTGCCTGGCGCGCACCGTGGCAAAGCGGAACTCAGCTTACAAACCACAGAGAAGGCGGGGCTCATTTCGTGCGCGGAGGTGTGCATAAAACAGGTTTTGCAAGACAAGTTCTGGACACTACATACAAGGCCAACAACCAGCTGGAAAGGAAAGAACGAAGAGAGAGAGGCAAAGCGATGACTGACACTGTGAAACTAGCGCTGTGTGGATTCGGGCGGGCGGGAAAGGTACACTTTCGCGGGATACGAAGCAACCATCGCTGTCAAATCAAGTACATCGTGGACTGCTTCGAGGACCCGGCCGTTCTCAAGAGCGTCAGCTCCGTGTTGGTAGAGTATCGAATGCTGGGCTCCGTGAAACTGGTCAAGACGAGCGAATACAAAAGCGTCGTTCTGTCGGACAGCGACCTCCACGGGGTGGTAGTGACGACGCCCACCCCGCACCACGAATCTTACGTCGTGAGCGCGCTGCGAGCGAAGAAGGCGGTCTTCTGCGAGAAGCCGCTCGCCTCGGACATCGGCGGTGTCATGCACGCCTACCACATCGCCGAGAGGGACAACCTACCGCTCTTCTGCGCCTTTCAAAGACGTTTCGACCCGGGCATGTCCAAGCTTCGACACAACGTGGCGGAGGGGAAGATTGGTAGGGTGTTCAGCTCAAATCTACTCAGTAGGGACTCTCCTAGACCATCCATTGAGTACCTCAAGACTTCTGGAGGGATGTACCACGACACGGCAGTCCACGACATTGACATGCTGTGCTGGATAGTAGGAGAAGAGCCGGTCGGGGTGTTTGCTCAGGGTTCTGTCTTTGACCCCGAGATTGCCAGTGTGGGGGACGTGGACACTATTGCTATAACTCTCAAGTTCCCCAGTGGAGCCCTGGCTGTGTCAGATCTCAGTCGACATGCTTCATATGGATACGACATGAGATTAGAGGTATTGTGTATATAGCTGTATGTAACATACAGACAACATTAGTCAGTATACGCATTTTGGTTTCAAACCTTGTATTAGGCTGGCTTCACTCGCCAACTATTGTGGTAGCAGGAAGTGGGTGGGGGAGTGAGGAAGGTGTGGTGCCGATGTCACCTTGTCATGTGACTGGACTATTGCCTGGTCTCACTTCCTTTCTGAATCCATTTGTTGTACCCTAAGGTGGTTATTTGCACATGTTTAGAATCCCCTCCTACTGTATTTGTGGCATCCTGTGGTTGCTGAATGTATACATCAGAGGGACAGGGGCCATATTAGAGACGGGTCCTTATTTCAGGTGTTAAATTACAATTGGGGAATGTCCTCATGTCTCTGAGAGGGATTCCACAGTATACTGACATATACCAAGAGAACGTGCTATATACTTACACATGTATTATACACATATGAAACATAAAGAAGTAACCTAGTTACTCAAACAGAATTATGTAGTTTGACACAGACACAGGACACGATTTGTCCTTTTTGGATTCTCGATTTGTGCTTTTTGGGCTATCGTCTCGTTGTTGCACAGCTGTACAATGTACCGAAACTTGATGTGTCTGCTTTTTACACAACTGAACACACAACTTTTACTTCACTCAGCTACTATGTACATATTATATGCAGCGAGCCTAGAGGGTATTAACCTCTCGTGTTTCTTTCTTTGGACAGGCTTTTGGAGAGAAGGGTGTTCTGCTGTGTGAGAATGTCCACGAAGATCCCTGCCTCCACTACTCGAGCTCCTCTGGTTCCTCTGCCAGCCTTATCCAATACTCCTTTGCCGAGAGGTAAATAATATATTGTATTGTTGCAGACTTTGAGTACTTCCAGCCATGTATGTATGTAGCTGAGCTGCCCTGGTTGTAGTTCAGTGGTATATAGATCACTTAGAGAGCAGCCCATGTCTGTATGCATTCCCATAAGGGTTAAGTAGGAGCAGTCTGACCATAGTAGTGGTCAAGTGAACTCTCATGAGACTTATAATTATATACGCGTACGTCAGGGGCTGTCTCCCCGAGTGATTATAACCGTGTCTGAGTGTAGGGGCGTTCCATTTAATTCCACCGTCTGTGTGGGTCGTACAGGTTCAAAGTTGCGTACGAGCGAGAGATGGACCATTTTGTTGACCTGATCCTGGACCCATCCACCGAGTGTGCCGTCAGTCGAGACGACGTGCTACTCTCTACGCGGATTGCCAATGCCTGCTGACGGTCTCAGAGAGAAGGCGAATGGTGGAACTGAGCCTATACCAACACCGTACAGAATGGATATAACAGCGTCATAGAGTCATAAGTTTTTAACTCATGTAATGATATTATTCGTGTACAGGGTATTAATATTTCACAACGTAATAGTTGACTCTTGCTCTATTATCTTGCCTTACCTTGATGTCCTTTGCCCCTTCCTACTCTCCGGTTTAATCATTGATCTCGCAGGTTATTATGCAAAAGATGTACCAACATTTTAACATTCTTTGTTCACTTGGGTTATCATTTCAAGTGAAGTTTTATGAAAATCGCCATTAAATATTTACCCAGTGTAGAGTGTAAGCCATTCATGGATCGTTCTAGGTTGAAAAAAACATACATGGGCCAGCCCTCAATCTCTCCAGACAGACGTCTCACGGACGCAGTGCTATGCCCAACTATATTGCTGACCCTTTGAGAACGTGGGTCAGTGGTAGATTTGTGGGTAAGGGGAGGAACCAGAGCTGTTCCCAGCCAATGCTCTGGACCACCTGATAGTTTCAGTGCGGGTCCGGGATTCGAACCAGGCACCTTATGTGACAGTCCCCACGTCTCTAACCACTCAGCCACTCGGGCTGGCCACGAGAGCTGATGAAAAAACGTTCCTCTTATATCAACTCACATTAAAAAAAATTACACCAGATCGTGGATCGAACCCCGGGACCTCAGAATCAAGAGTGTGAATCCTTATCCATCAGACCACACCCAATACTTGACAGGGGCATGTCAAATACTGTATAATTATCTCTTCTATAGCACACTGTTAATAGCCGACTATTTTTTGTAAGGTGGAGAGAGAGAGAGAGACATACACAACTACACACGCTATAAACTATGATTACTAGAAACGATTATGCATTTTGCAGGACACGTGAGAAAAACTAAGGAATAAAGCCAATACCTCTAATAGTTGACTATGTTTTGGTGGGTTTGTAATATAGTTTTGACTTATGCCCTAGTATTTTCATTACTTAGTAAATGGTACACAAGTGACCTTAAAGCGGAATAACTTGTTGTTTCAGAGTCAGTACAGGTTTGTATTACAAATGGGCTCACAATGTATATACACAAGTACACTTTCCTGTATTAAAAAGCATACACAATGCCCCGAAATGCAAGTCTTTCATTCAGCTGCACTATTATTTCTGCTCTATATATTTGGTCTCTACTGGTCAACACTAGGGTAGCTCCACTCTGTGCAGGGGGCAGTGGCTTCCTTCACCGACATTGGAGACACCCACTTCTGCAGGTAGGACACTGCACCTGCTTTGTCATTGGTACCTGTGGTGATAGACAAGTGTATCAGTAGTGGGTTGCCCTTCATTTATAGACAGCTAGTGAGAGGAGGTATTTTTACCATCTCGACTACGGTTTATCAATCCATGTGCATTGTGAATTACACGTGTTTTTTTGAATTGGACTGTGGTCAGGGGTTCTGTTTCATGCTTTAGGAAGACAAATGAAGCACCCAGTCACAGGAAACTTCACTTGCCTCCCTGATGGCCTGAGACTATATATATAGCCTGTTCATTTCCCAGGCCTCCCTCTTCGCATGCACAATTACACATGTGTATGACCACTGTCTGACAGAAAAAGGCCATACGCACAAATCGTAGAGAGAGGGGGCCTTGGAACGAAACTAAGTGACTAGACACTAGTGATATGTGGCCAACCTGAGCCTCGAGAGCCACCAAATGGCTGCTGGCCGACCACAGAGCCGGTGGACTTGTCGTTGATGTAAAAGTTGCCGGCAGAGTGTCTCAGAACTGACATGGCCTTCAGGATGAAGTACCTACATATAGAGAAGGATTGAAGTAATCAGATGAGGAGGATGAACTGTGTGGGGTGACATAAGATACACAGAGACAACATACTCAGTTTACTACATGGTATAATACTACATACCTCAATTTGTCCCACTCAACAGCAGAGTTTCAAAGTTTGGGGTTCAATTACAGACTGAATACCATGCAAACAGAATAGAGATGGCTATCGAACTCCAGAACAGAAATACTATCAGTTGGTCCATTCGAGAAACAGCGCGACACTTCTGTTTCCCTCTTAGTATAAGAATTATACCTGTATAGAGTGACAGTGCACACCACTGGGTCTTTTCTTCGAGAAAAGCAGACATTGCTGACATGCCATGAGGCTATAGTATAGCACTATACCACATCAACACTATCAAACACACATGTGAGCACATCAAGTAAAATAGGGGCTATGACACACAGGGACAAGTTTGAGTTTGTGAATGAATTATGTAGTACAACGAATAGAGAATTTGCATGTGCGATATGGCCACACCAGAACCGTGCGAGAGCATTACGCGCATTGCGCTCTACTACGTAAGGGATTTCCCCTCCGCCCGTGTATGGCTCGTGCTATACTCGCGTACACAGGGAAACATTATAATGTGGCGAACACCCTATTTTTATTTGATGCGTTCACACACGTTGATTGTGTTGACCTGTCGTTGGAGAAGACTGCTCCAGTGAGGCCATAGACTGAGGTACTGTTGACAACCTCCAGCATCTCCTCTGCCTCACTGTCAGGGTACACGTACACCGTCAGGACTGGACCAAATATCTCCTGTTGAATCAGTGAAGAGCATCTAAAGTGGCTATAATTGCCGAGCGCATTAGCGCGAGGCTACTACTCTGGGTTGTATTCTCGCGATATGCGTACGTACAAACGTACGTGTTGGTCACGCTTAAGAATGTCAATCAGTCATGCTTAGGGAATGTCAATTAGTCACACTTAGGAATGTCAATTTCCGCCGTGTGCGCAGATTCGTAGGAAGTCTGGCTTCGTGCGCAGTCAGTTGAGCGCGCACGAGCGGCCTCAGTCGGAGTGTTTACGCATCGGCTGGCAGGCGCGAGGCAAAATATGCGCGTGCGCATTCCTAGTTATACTGCACCTGCTTTGTGTATACCAAGAGTCGCACGCATAGTTAGAGTACAGGTTGTTTCGCAAACTTGGTTTGTTTCTATATTACAGTGACGCCCAGTCCTCAATAGTTTTTGAAGCGGAGGCTTTTCATTTAATCTCTAGCTAGGCGAAAGAGGCAGCCATCACTTGAACAATCTCTCTGTTCATTCACGTCATCGTGGAGCCATTTGGTCATATAATATAACAGGGAAAAATCTACAGGCAACCTGTCAAGTTGGGACTGCTGAAATACTTTACACTACGCTAGAGCCATAGAAGACACTCTGACTGACTAACAGATAAGGCACTTACCCCTCTCCGGCCAAAGGCATTTCAATTAGTAAAGTAACAACAGGAGGTGTGTTTCCTGCATGGCCTGGCTATATTGGCTGATAGCTAACCTTGACCAAAACCTCTTGCTTTAGCTTATTGATCAATAGCTAACCTCTTGCATTAGCTTGTTCCTTGGGTTGGTTGTCTGATAGATGGTTGGCTGGACAAAGTAGCCGACACTGCACAGAATGCACCATCATTAGAGTCATCACATCACATTGGTGTATACCATGCCTTCAGGGAGTGTCCAACAATGCCTATGTATATTATATGTACTGTACTATGCTACAAGGTATATACACATCCATATGTTTTGGACAGGCCTTTGGCCCTCACGAGAGACCAAATAGCAGTGCACCGCAACCCTCGCTGCGCGTGTGCGCCGAGGGTTATGATGCATTTAGCCTGCATTGCTATACACGTACTGTATGTACCTATCATCAGCAGAGCCTCCTGCTAACAGTGTCAGTTCATCACTGGAGTTAGCATAGTCCAGATATCCGCTGATCTTCTGGAATGACTGTTGCGAAAAAATGAATCATAAATGGGATATGAAAGCAAGGCTGCAGTCAAAGAAAAACAGCTCAATTACACCCAGGACAACAATATTTGGGCTCGTGGGAGTTTAACTCATCATTCAGTAGTAATTCCAAAACGAAACTCGTGACAGAGACTACAGGAAAAGGAGGACCATAAAATGGGAGTGCCTTACCTTGGCATCAATGACGGCAGCAATGAAATTACGGAAATCCTCAGGCTGCAGAGGGTACAAAAGTTGCGTTACGTCTGTACACCAGTGGCTTACATACTTACCGACCCAACTCTGATTTCCTTTGTGATGGCCACCATTTTGTCTCGTATCTACAGGGCATACACACACACACACAAACAGTCACACACATATTAATCATACTGGACAACAATATCGTGTATAATTATAGTAGAGTGGTTAAGTATTCGAGCAACACTGAGGTTTTTGCTGTTAATCTCAATATGTGAAAGATAATAATATGCTCCAAAAGAGAGCTTTAGAAATTCCCATTTTATTGAGAACTTTACCATAATATTGTATGCATGGCTAGATAGTTTACTATACATTGGCTTAGAGAGTTGTCCCAATTGATATATAAAGACCATGCAAAAATTCTACGGCAAATGCATACCTCAGTCCACAAGCTCTCGGGGACATACATTCTGGAGGTGGCTGAGCACTTCTGACCACAGTACTCAAAGGCTCCTCGTACAGAGCAGAAGACTACGTTGTCGACATCGGCCGACGGATGCACAAAGTGGTAGTTCTTCCCACCACACTCTGTGTAGGAAACAGACTCTGTTACATGATGCAGCTGTGTAATGCATGGTATAGCCGCTGTGTTTAATGTAATCACACGGCAAGTGCGCACCAACAGTTCAACTACATCTAGGCAATAGTATGCCCTCGGTGGGACTCGAACCATCGACACACTAGTTCCTCAAAACATAGTGCTACAGTAGAACCTCCGATATTGAACCCTCAGAGACACTGATGACATCTTTACAGAGGACATTTGTTTCAACCCCATGCAAATACGTCAGTGTATTATTTTACCACCGAGCTAGGGATGACCTCTCTACAAAATCGTTGACAACAACACTTATTCAAAGAGCTGCCTTAAGCCACGACACTTGGCTCAGTATTGTGGACATATTTACACGCAGTCAATGCACTTTTACATTGCATGAACACTTGTTTGATATCCCTAGGCAACCGACATGTATGAAGCTAGGTATATACTAGGGGATTGTATCAGCCTATACAATCCTACATGTGCAAGCAGGGTTCATACATGTCATTTGCCTAGGGATATCCAACAAATCTGTTGCAGTACCCAGACAGGACAGCATTCGCTCTTACAGGGCTCATGCTGTCCTGTCTGGGTACTGCAACATAATACACATACATACTATATCACTACGTATGGTACTATTATCACTAAGTACAGTAGTATACTTAGTATTAGTATTGGATCAAACGTACCTCCAACAATTCTTGGGAACGTTCTGGAGAAAGTATATATACATGATTGGAATGAGGTGAGACAATGTCCAATCAACTTACTTGTAAGTGTCCAGCTTTTTGCCCGTCAATTTCCACAGATGCTTGAATGTCCTGAAAAAGAGGAACGGCAGTTACACACGGTAAATGGCAAGCGTCTATGATAGCGACGTTCTTTTTTCTGCTAACTCTGGTTAGGGTACGCGTGTCAGCAGGAAATTCTTTGGGCTAACAGAGTAATTTCCTTACCTGGAGCGTAGATGTGCCTGCAAAAAGAAGTGTATACTGTGCACTGTACGTTGACATAGAGTGCATCATAGGTACACCAAAAGCTAAATTAAAGCTAAAGTGGCCCAAAAGACCAAGCACTTAGAGTCCAGTGCGATGAACAAATTTGAGAACTCACGTTGAACTGCCGGTAAAGCTGACACCAGCCAAATCCGGAGAGTCGGTAACAGTGTCCCCAAACAGGGGGCCAGGGGCCGGGACGAAATTGACGACCCCGGGGGGCAGCCCCGCCTCTCTCAATATCTTGAACATGGTCCAATTTGATAGCATGGCCGTGTCAGACGGCTTCCAGAGTGTGGCGTTGCCCATCAGAGTGGGCGTGGCTCCGAGATTGGCGCCGATGGCGGTAAAGTTAAAGGGAGAGATGGAAGCAATGAAGCCTTCGAGAGCGCGGTATTCCAATCTATTCCAGATGCGAGGAGAGTGGACCGATGGTTGACCCTGTGAGATGAGGGAAATTGTACAGTTCCCTACTGCCACACATACATACATAGATGGAAGAAGGACATGCAGTAACCTGTTCAGCATGATATAAAAGGGTTAACTTTGAGTCAGTCCCCCTTTTTCCCACAGTAATACCACATTCTCCTATGTACTGGTATTTAAATTTTGACAGAGCAATAAAGGCCACGAGTATTGTCCTACACCCAAATTTATACGAAGTGGTGTTAAGAGCAGAGGTAATGAATGGTAAATGGCCAAGTTTTCAAAAAAGCGTACACTTTGCAACGAGGATTTTCTTATTATAGCCCACCTTACCTGCAAGTCTAGGCCTTGTTTCACTGCGAACCGGAAGAAGTCAATAGTTTCACACGTGGAATCAATCTCTGCTTGGAGCACTGTCTTCCCCTGCCATCACACACACACACACACACACACAGATAGACAGACACACAGATAGACAGACACCAAGACATAATAATATTATTATAACACATTTATTGCTCTGCATGCTGTATGTTTTGAGGGCGCGGTTATATGACTTTTGAGGTTTAAGATAGAGCACTGGGAATACCACTTAACATATATATATATCTCTAAAGCTTCTAGAATTGCAAGCAGTATATAGATGTTGGCAGTAATAACAGGGCTGAGACCTCAGCAATGGGACTAGAGTAAACTGCCTGCTTCTTACACCTCGCCGAACAAACACCAAATTACTTGTATCAACAGCCTCCAATAACGCTCATACTGGCACACTAATGAGACCACTGTACTGGTAGCTACCACGACCAAGATCAACAATAATTTATGCAATAATGGTCTAGTTTTTTACCTACACCTCAATTGCTACATATGAGCTCATATACATGTCGACAGAGAGATTATTATAATACATTGTGTGCATGGGATCTTTTTTGTGGCAACCACTGGCTGGCTACAGATGTAGTATCATACAGTGGTACAGGTTGCTCCAGTACAGGGCATTAAATAGTACATTCATGTCTCATACATACCTGTCCGAGCATGGTGGTGGCTATAACTTGATAGCGGTACTTTGTGCTGATCAGGTCAGCCATGCGGAGGAAAACTGCCGCCCTATGCACAATGACAATCAAGAACCATTTGTGAGGGTGTATTAGTATGTATAATACGTACCTATGTTCATATGGTGTATCCTCCCATTGTCTCTTTGCCTCCAATGCACAGCCAATAGCCTCGTTGATCAAATCCTTAATAAGAAACACTCATTTATAATTATACTCGAAGATTGCTTGAAAAAGTCAGTTACCTTGTCGGCATAGTGATAGTGAGCTATCACTCGCTGATGGTCATACGGCTGAAGGGAAAGGAGAGAAAGGAGAGAAAGGAGGAGTAAAAAAACAGAGCTTCGAGAAACTACAATAAGTCTGCCAGTTATAATATTATTTTTAGTTACTACAAAACAGAGCTCAGAAAAACGTTAGGGTGAAAACGTTGGCACACCATCACTCCATTTACCCCTACCACACCATCACTCCATTTACCCCTACCACACCATCACTCCATTTACCCCTACCACACCATCACTCCATTTACCCCTACCACACCATCACTCCATTTACCCTACCACACCATCACTCCATTTACCCCTACCACACCATCACTCCATTTACCCCTACCTACGAACGTAAAACCTGTATTTAAAAGTGCATATCTCTGAGGCAGTACGAGCTTTGTTCCAATGTATGCAAAATGCCACTGATCATCTGCCCAGTCACCAATTAATGCTCGTGACGTGAAACATGATGAGGCACTTACTGAGACTTGTTTCTGGAGGTTGCCGGTAAAGATCTCCCTGCCTCCGACCACACATGGAATCTCCTCAACGTGACCGTGCAGATCACCTAGTGCCTACACATTGGTGTGTGTGTGTGCGCGCATCATAAGAATTGAACACACAGGGATAAATACACTTTCTTTCCTTTTTTCTCACATATAAGTGTGTGCTGTTGAATTCTCATGTGCAAAGTTCTGATTTGAAATTGACTCAAAAACGTTTCCAGCTACCTGATGTAGGTATATATACAGTACAACACAGCGTTTACGAATGTCACTCTCTCTCTCTCTCTCTCTCTATGAAGGACATATTGAGTTCAACTCCAAAGAGGGCAAACGAGAGAAAGTTCGAAAGGGCAATGACACCATCTCCAGAAGCCATTCAACTGCACATAGAGCCATACCATAAAAATGCAAGCTCCAGCTTACGCACCCACACACTCTCTACCGCTATAAACTGGTCGGTCCAGTTCAACAGGATACGGACTACGGAGCATCCTGCATCATGCACTGGCTACACCCACACTACATAGGAGCTTGTACATTTTGGTGGGAGATACAGTTATACAGTTACACGTGCACTTGCCGAAGTTGACATTATCTCACTTTTTCCACGCAAGCTCTCTCCTCGGAGCCTGGCGCGAATGAGAGAGTGGGTTCGTTGACCGGGGGAGGAACCTGGACCACCGGCGATGAGTAAAACCTGCCGTAACGTCGATATAAACGGTGGTAAACAGACACAGAGTGATAGAGGACTGGTTTTGGGATGACCTGTGGTTGCAAACGCACCTGTGGACCGGTCTCAGACACCTAAGTAGAGCAGCTACTCTACTCGGAAGCACGCTCATCTTCTACGATTTGCTGCCAAGCCGCAGATTTGGAAACGGATGAAGAATACGGAATAGCTCGGGCCACGCCCCCCGGCCTTGTAGAGGAGGTGTGGACGATCGGCGCGGACGCGACGGAGCTCGGGCTGAGGTAGCGGAGGAGGACTATATACAGTTACACAGACTCACTCAGCGCCCCCAAAACATGGCAGAAGAAGACACTTACCGTCGTGCTTATGATGTCACCATGACCTACCCTGTGAGTGGATTTCATTAACAAAGTGTTGTAGGCTTGGCCTGTGACGACGTAACAGTTAGCTAGCTACCTGCATTCACCCCCTCCTTGTCCGGTGGTCTACGTGGCTAAAGCGTCTCGATCAACTCCAGATATAGCTACTCTGCACAGATGTTTTCCTTGATGGACAAAGTGAGAGTCTTTGCCAAACTCTGCACGTAAACTAATGGTAATGAGTAGGTTGCAGGGCTCATGCTGTCCTTCTGGATGCAACGATTTGATATCCCTGGTCAACAGACATGTATGAAGCTAGGTACTGGGGATTCTATCAGCCTATATATACAATCCTACGTGTGCAAGCAGGATTCATACATGTCATTTGCCTAGGGATATCCAACAAATCTGTTGCAGTACCCAGACAGGACAGCATTCACCCTGTAACATAAGTATAGCAATGTGCGGAGCTGTTGCTTTCATGTATGAGTAACAAGCAGTGTAGTATGGTGGGTGGAATACACAGTAAGTTGCTGCAATGACACTCCATAGAGTCTATGCTAGTAGCTGATGCAATACTAAGACCATGTGATTTTGGTTTGGGACCACAAAATATGTATACTTTCAACCCTAGTCATACTAGTAAAACAACAACTACCTCGTGATACAACCTTCTCAAGTGTATTTACTTTAATGGTAGCTAAAACTGCATATGCACCACCCATGGGATTTGGCAAATACTATCTTTTGCGCATGCGCATGTGTATTCGCGACAAAAATTAGAGGCGTGGCGTGTTTCGGATCGTGACCGCGCAGTGAACGGACGGAGCTCTCGAAAAGAGGAAACGCTCGGATTTAGGGATTGTGAGGCATCTTGGAGATGATTGGAAGCCGATACCTGTCAGACATGGTAGGCATTGCTCGTGTTTCGTAAGTAATTAGCAGCAGACACACCGGTCTGCGCTCTCTAGGTCCGTTGTTGGCGTTCAGCTATGTATATACCTTAGATGACCTCTTGACTTGCATGTTTCTCGTTAACGACCGCTGATTTTGTTGGCATTCACCGAAATACGACACTCGTTTCTCGTCGAGTGCTACCGCTGATTTACAAAAATATCGCCTATAATACAGCTATATAGCTATGGAGTTAGAGCTAGGGGAGTTCGAGACGGAGTACACGCAGCTTACCGACTTGAAGGGTGACGGCAAGGACCCTGAAGGCAAGAACCATTCGGGCTTTTCAGTTCTCTTGAGCTCAAGTTTTTCTTCGTCTTCTATATCGGAGGTTTGGTTGTCTGCGCGCGCCGTTTTATCCTGGGGGGCTGGGCTTTTTTGCCGTCTAATTGTGCTCTGAATACAATAGCTGAATAGTAGTACCTCGGTGTCAGCTGATCAGCATTGTTTATTTGCACTGTCTTATGTGTTAACATATCTCTACCAACTAACTTCCTTCCTCGGCTTAGTCTCTCTCCCTCTCTCTCTCCCAGAGCACACGCAGTGAAAGACACCACCTCCTGACGTCAGAAGAGGTCCATAGAAAGAGACCCAAAGGATCCGACATCCCTTCCAAGGACTATGATGTAAGAATCACACAGTAACAAACCACCAGCTCTGTAATGGCTCAGGCAACTTCCAAAATTGTATAATGTGACAGCACTAACTTTTACTTATCAACAGTGAAGTATATTCACAGTATAATATATGCAACACCAATACTGATTTTGTCTGTGCCTGAAGCAGCTTGTTCTTTGCCGTTTTTCCACTACAGAGCTTGGACTATGACAACTGCTACAATGTTCCCTACAAGAAGGCTCTTAGAACCTTCTCCAAGAAGGTATATTTACTTGAACAGATTTGCCCAAAGAGCACACATTGCCAACCAAGCCTTCACATGTATATAGGCTAAGATTTGTGTGCGTTACTGTAATATGCCTGCACACTATATGTACTGTGGAAATGTTGTGTTGAAATTTCAGTTATGCTCCACCCACTAGCTGCCTTGCGTTGTATATGCCACAAGTGAGGTATGAGAACAAGGGAAGTGCGAAGCTCAACTCCAAAGAAAATGGAGATTCCCTGTTTGGGACTCCAACCCAACAACACTACTTGCTAGGAATGTAAACACTCTGCGTTCCCACCTGTGTTATAAACGTGTGTGTGCAACTTTCACTTTTACAAAAACTGGATGTGTACACAAAAAGCAATGTTTTGATGTCATGCAGAACACTAGCGCTAGCCCTTAATAATGTATAGTGGGAAGTGGAGAAACTAGTTTTGCTGTGTATATGTATGTATACACCCTCGAAGTTTGTGTTCCTTCAGCTCCTCCATCCTTCTGTGTGATGTGAAAACAGCTCCAGTAGAACTGTGCACAAGAACCAGTAAATCTTGCCATGAGTTAGAGTCCAATTCCTTGTACATTCAGTAGGCACTTGTGTAGTAAGTACACACTTATTTCTTCTTATCAGTACGTAACTTCTACGATCTCTGTTTTCCTCTCCACTCACCCCCCTCTCCTCTTCCTCTCCACTTACCACCCTCCCTCTCCCTCCTCTCCACTTACTCCTCTTCCTCTCCACTTACCCCCCTCTCCTCTTCCTCTCCACTTACCCCCCTCTCCTCTTCCTCTCCACTTCACCCCTCTCCTCTCCTCTCTCCACCTCACCTCTCCTCTTCCTCTCCACTTACCTTACCCATCCTCTGTCCTCTCCACTGTACCCCCCTCTCCTCTTCCTCTCCACTTACTCTCCTCTTCCTCTCCCACTTCTCCTCATCCTCGATCACTGACGCTCTCCTCTTCCTCTCCCACTTACTCTCGTCCTCTTCCTCTCCCTACCTTACCCCCTCTCCTCTTCCTCTCCACTCACTCTCCTCTTCCTCTCCACTTACCCCTCTCCTCTTCCTCTCCACTTACCCCCCTCTCCTCTTCCTCTCCACTCACCCCCCTCTCCTCTTCCTCTCCACTTACCCCCCTCTCCTCTTCCTCTCCACTCACCCCCCTCTCCTCTTCCTCTCCACTCACCCCCCTCTTCCTCTCCCCTCCCCTCCCTCTCTCTCTCCTAGACCTACCTGCATATGGAGGTGATGAGATGGGTTCTGGTGGGTTTCATCGGAGTCTTCACTGGACTTGTTGCCCTCTTTATTGACGTCTGTGTCCGCTACCTTTTCAAGCTCAAGTTTTCCCTCTTTGACAAAGGTTATTATACAGTATGCGCTTTCAACTGTTACCTTTATCACATTTTGCATGTCCTCCATATTAATGTTGAATGTAGACAGTACAACATAAGGGCTAAATTTAGTAATGCTCCTAACGATGGAACTAAAAAGTGAAAGATCTTAAGGGAATGTGGCAGTATTATGAGGGCTAAATTTAGAAATGTTACTAAAGATAGAACAAAACAATAGGGCACAGTGAAAGAATGCAGTTAAATTCCGTGTTTAGTAACTCTTATAATTATACTGCCACATTCCCTTCAATTGAACTGTGTGTATGTAATGTTCTGCGCAGTGTATCATGCCACAGTGGAGGATGGGAATGTCATATCTGCCTTCCTTCTTCTGTTGGGCGTCAACGTTCTGTTTGCCATCATTGCATCAGCCTTCATAGTCATTGAGGTAATCACCACCAATCACCACGCAAGCAATGTTCAATCAGCTTTCTCGTTTGAGGTCCTGCTTACATAATTATAAAAGTTGTTATTGGTGAGCGAACAAGCGAACCTGAGTACATGTCTGATTTTCTTGCACAATAATGATAATATTATAGCACTGTCACATGTCTGCTTGTAGTAAAACTGCTGAAATCTGAAGTTTTATATATACTCTCGTTTACTCACCGATTGAAGTTGACCCACTGTAGTATGTAGTACTCTGTGTCTCCTTTAGCATGCGGGTGGTGGCACTATGTGTAAATATAGTATTGTGTATACCCAATGTCTATACCCTGTCTCTCCATAAGCAGTGGTATCATAATCTTTGTCTCCATTAGCCTGTGGCAGCAGGCAGTGGTATCCCAGAGATCAAGTGCTACCTGAATGGCATCAAGGTCCCCCACGTCACCAGACTCACCACGCTCGTATCCAAGGCTGTGGGAGTTCTCTTCAGCGTTGCTGGAGGTACGTACGTACGTACATCTTGAAACACCATTCCTTCTTCCCCTTTTCTCATCCTCCTCCTGCTTTCATCTTGCTTCAGTTGTGAGACCATGAGCCTGCGAAAATTGATGTCACCGTGATTGCAGTAAATATGGTGGCCTAAACCTAGCTAGCAAGTGGTGGGAAGGACGGGCCAACCAACCATCCTAGTAGCTTGACTATAGCTTGAGTGTGCAGAGAAGACAGGGTGGGCTAAACTTTTCGTAGTTTTAGTAAGCAAGTGGAGGGAAAGACAGGGCAACCAACCATCCTGAATAGCTTGACTATAGCTTGAGTGTGCAGAGAAGACAGGGTAGCCTAAACTTTTCGTACTTTTAGTAAGCAAGTGGAGGGAAAGACAGGGCAACCAACCATCCTGAATAGCTTGACTATAGCTTGAGTGTGCAGAGAAGACAGGGTAGCCTAAACTTTCGTACTTTAGTAAGCAAGTGGAGGGAAAGACAGGGCAAACAACCAATCCTGAATAGCTTGACTATAGCTTGAGTGTGCAGAGAAGACAGGGTAGCCTAAACTTTTCGTACTTTTAGTAAGCAAGTGGAGGGAAAGACAGGGCAACCAACCATCCTGAATAGCTTGACTATAGCTTGAGTGTGCAGAGAAGACAGGGTAGCCTAAACTTTTCGTACTTTTAGTAAGCAAGTGGAGGGAAAGACAGGGCAACCAACCATCCTGAATAGCTTGACTATAGCTTGAGTGTGCAGAGAAGACAGGGTAGCCTAAACTTTTCGTACTTTTAGTAAGCAAGTGGAGGGAAAGACAGGGCAACCAACCATCCTGAATAGCTTGACTATAGCTTGAGTGTGCAGAGAAGACAGGGTGGTCTAAACTTTTCGTACTTTTAGTAAGCAAGTGGAGGGAAAGACAGGCCAACCAACCATCCTGAATAGCTTAACTATAGCTGGAGAGTGCAGAGAAAATAGGGTGGCCTAAACCTTTCGTACTTTTAGTAAGCAAGCTCGGGGAAATACAGGGCAACCAACAATCTTGAATAGCTTGACTATAGCTTGAGTGTGCAGTGTGATATGGTGACCTAACTCTTTTGTACTAATAGCAAGGAACCTTTGCGCTGAAGGTTTGCACTGGTTTTGATTGGTCAGCTAAAGGTTCTGTACAGTTTGTCACCTAACCCCTTTGCTTACTTTTATCTGTTTACCCATTCCTCCCTCCACACAGGATTCTTTGTAGGCAAAGAGGGTCCAATGATCCACAGTGGAGCCATAGTGGGTGCAGGATTGCCCCAGTTCAGGAGCATGTTCTTCAAATTCATCAACCTCCCCTACCACTTCTTTCGCTCTGATAGAGAGAAGAGAGATTTTGTATCCAGCGGAGCAGCTGCAGGAGTGGCAGGTACATATTATTATAATCCTCTAGTTTTTAACAGTCAAGTGTTCTTATAATTATTTGTTACACTCGTGCAAATTAGAATGTTTCTGGGTCTGTATATAGTTCGTAGGTTGTCAAGTATAGTCTAGATTATGTACAAAAAATAGCAAATGAAGAGTTTTTTTTTAGGTATGGCAGTTTCAATGAAAACTGCATAATGATGTAGCCACATTGGCTAATGAGGGAATCCCTGCGTATTATTTATCGTTCCATAAAAGCCATGTACATAACTATGTGTCACACTACCATACAGCATGTACAGACACACTGTCATTATGTTGTGTGCCACATTCAGCTGCCTTTGGAGCGCCGATCGGAGGAGTTCTGTTCAGTCTGGAGGAGGGGTCTTCATTCTGGAACCAGAGTCTCACCTGGAGAACGGTACTGAGACCAATACTGTTCACATACACATTGAGCGTTACCAGAATGAACTTTTGGCAAGCGAGCAAAAGCTTTGAGCAGCTCTATCTACATGTGTCATGCACATGACTAATGTCATTGGCACAAAACCTACATGTAGGTGGGCTTGCTTGCTAGCCAATAAAGCCAAGAGTGATTCAGAGTAATTTTTTGTTGCGAGCGGACCAACTGGTGTGTACACGTGTGCAACGATAGGGCCAGGCAACTTGTTGCCTGACACCACCATACCAATACTTTGGTGGAAGTTGCTGCAACTTTTGTTGAAGTAACTAAGTTACCGGGTGTAGGGCTTGCTTTATGAGTAGGTGTTTTAGCAGTATTCGTGTTAACAAGCTTCCGCTCTCTCTCCCTCCCTCCTTCTCTCCTCTTCAGTTGTTTTGTTCGTTCTGTTCGACGTTCACACTCAACCTGTTCCTGTCTCCCGTGAAGGGTCTCCAGTTTGGTCTGCTGGGAACTCCCAGTCTCGTTGACTTTGGAGTCTTTCAACAAGTATGATGTCATATTACAGTCTTTCAACAAGTATATGTACGGTATGATGTCATATTACAGTCTTTCAACAAGTATATGTACTACAGTATGATGTCATAGTCTTTCAACAAGTATGATGTCATATTACAGTCTTTCAACAAGTATATACATATGATGTCTAGTCTTTCAACAAGTATATACATATGATGTCGTAGTCTTTCAACAAGTATATACATATGATGTCGTAGTCTTTTAACAAGTATATACATATGATGTCATAGTCTTTCAAACATATGATGTCATAGTCTTTCAACAAGTATTACATTAATAGCACACTGTGACAGTATAATATAGTGTTCAATCCAAACCGAAAAACTAAAGCGATGTCAGAGCCTGTGTATTAATGTGAAGCTGGCTGAATTACTCATACATTAGCCAAGTAAGGACTTTGCTACATTGTTAATGTAAACTTCTACAGACTTTCTTCCACAATAGTACTCAACCTACGTACACATGTACATTATGTTGCACAGTGTCCAAATTGTACTCTGTACACAACCAACATGCCTTGTTTCTGCATGAAGTTCCGTGTACGTCTCCTTATAGATGTATATACAGTTGGTTTTGTTTCTTTTTTCTTTTTTTCTTTTTTTTCTTTTTGGTTTCTTTTGTCATTTTTTGTCAGCTAAAAATGTTTGTTTTTTTATCAGTTGTTTTGTGTTAACCTGTGTATCTTTTTTGCTCACCCTCTAGAGTGAGCGGCAGCTGTGGAAGGCGTATCACCTGATAGTGTTCATAATCATGGGGGCAGTAGGGGGCCTCCTCGGAGCTCTGTTTAACTCCATCAACACTCAGATCACCATCTACAGACTCAAGTACCTCATCCGCAGCAGACGCGTCTGGAGGTGAGTGTTTCATTTTGACACACTGGCAGCAGAAAGAGGGCCCTAGATTCGTACAACAACAGAGCGAAAACCAGTTACAGCATGGCCGGCGTGTATTTCTTAACTTCCACAACTCCACATGACACCTTACACCTTCTTCCCTTGGAAAAAAGACTTGTAAAAGAGTTGGATGGTGTCGTTGCCTTGTTCAGTATAATACATGTACTATGGGAGGAAAGATTGCCACTTTGGTTTTAAATGCAACTTTGTTGCTTCAACAAAAGTTGCAGCAACTTAAGTAATGGGTATGGTGGTGTCAGGCAAAACGTATAGGCGGCGAGGCGGTACAGGAGATACTCCGAGGCTGTTGACTATACGCCCTCGGCTGGTAGCGGTATAGTTAACAGCCGAGGAGGATTTCCTGTACCCGCCAAGACGCCTGACGTTAACTGATTTGTAGTCCAACTAGCCAATCACAATGCTGAATTTCTGCTGCTTCATCTTGCACTAATGTACTAATGGACTGTTGTGTAAACTTTGGAAGCCAGACAATTTGCACTACGCCTATATAGCGCTAGATGTTGTGATAAGGACTTCCTGTGATACCGGTGCAGCCCGCAGCCCACAGCTCAGAATACAGCGTATATTCCTAGCACCGGGTTGTTTGAAGTTGGACTACAAGTTTCCAGAAATTCATGTTAACCACAGACTGACAAACATTTTTCCGCGAAAAATTTTTGTGTGAAAGGTTTTCCCAGTATGTCTGTGAAATAACCCTAATCTAACTATCCCCTGTCCCTCACTCTGTCACTGCCACTGCAGGATGGCGGAGGCAGTGCTGATCATCATGTGCACCACGGCTGCAGTCTCCATCGCCGTGACAGTACTGGGGACCTGCGTGCCTTTCAGGAACGACGATGATGACCCCTCTGGCGGCGATCACATCTATAGCCCAGTCAGTCATGCTTAAAAGATAACATACATACAGATTGGTGGAGTAATACGTAATTGTAATTGACCAAATAGTACGTATGTAACTTCTTGTTCCGTGAAGAATTTATGTTTGTATTAATACAACAACTATAGCATCGACTTAAATATGTACACGTACTGTAGCAGTAACAGTGGCCCCCCTGCGATCAATGCAGGGAGATACCTCATTCAGGAACGAGACAATCGACTACTTCTGCCCCGACCATGGAGACACTAAGAACGTACTCTACTACAACGATCTGGCAACCATATTGTTCAATCCTCAGGAGACTGCCATTAAACAGCTTTTCCATCAGAATGGTGAGTGGAGAAGAGTCTGGACATTATACATGACACATAAGGGCAATGGCACGGCTTTTACGCACATTTGTCATTCATAAGAAGTTCCACTGCACACTCCAGCTATAGTCTTTCCCTCCACTTGCTTACTAAAAGTACGAAAAGTTTAGGCCACCCTATCTTCTCTGCACACTCCAGCTATAGTTAAGCTTTTCGGGATGGTTAATTGGCCTGTCTTTTCCCTCCATTTGCTTACTAAAAGTACGAAAAGTTTAGGCCACCCTATCTTCTCTGCACACTCCAGCTATAGTTAAGCTTTTCGGGATGGTTAATTGGCCTGTCTTTTCCCTCCATTTGCTTGCTAAAAGTACGAAACATTTACGCCACCTTTTTCTGCAATCACTCCAGCTACATAGTCAAGCTACTCAGGATAGTTGGTTGGCCTGTCCTTCACTTGCTTGCTAAAAGTACGACATTTTAGGCCACCCTACATTATCACGGTCACTCTGGGAATTTATACACCAATATGTATGTATTACAATCAGGTGCCTTCACTCTCCCGACACTGTGGATCGTGTTTCTGGTCTACTTCATACTTGCCTGTTGGACCTACGGAGCCGGCATACCGAGCGGTCTGTTCATCCCTTGTCTCGTCATCGGAGCCACCTACGGAAGATTTGTAGCCACAGCTCTCACGTATGTATGTGTACGATATCACATGAGCTTGAACATGTACATACGTTGCTGCCTTCCCTCTCTCTCTCTCTCTCTCTCTCTCTCTCCTCATCCTCTCTCTGTGTCACATACAATTTTTACCATGTATCTACAATAGTTTTGAGCGTATCAAGTAGAAATTAACTTTATTCTCACGTTAAACCACCAAACAGGGTGCACAGGGTTCCTTCTATGCATTCTCATTGTCTGTACATCTCCCTTTCTTTCTTCTCTTTTCTCTTTTTCTCACAGAGTCCTTGAGAAGCAATTCCCTATCCTACACTTTCTCACCAACCTCTATCCCGGTACCTACGCTCTAATTGGAGCCGCCTCGTTTCTAGGGGGCGTGGTCAGAATGACGATCAGTCTCACAGTCATTCTGATAGAGTCTACCAATGAGATTGACTATGGACTGCCCATCATGTTGACTCTCATGGTAATGGGAGATGCTATTATGTAGCTGGTTGCTACTTGATGTTAAGCTAATGTTACAGTGGGATGTAATTAGAAGGTGTCAGGTGTCCAGTTGGAGCTCAAGCAAGTATAGTTTTTACTTTGTTATTAGCGAGTCTTGAGTGTGTTGCTTTGTTTGGCAGAGCCTCCTAACCCTCTCATCAGTTTGCACAGTTGTTGATGTTTGTATTGTGTTGTAGATTTGAGAGCCCCTGGGTAAGAGCTCATGTCTATATAGAGTAGGAGTGTTGTTGGTTCGAATCCCACCCAGGGCAGTTCTTCTCAGCTGTTGTGTGGTATATAGTTGCTTTGCCTTTGCCTTGCTGCCTCAGTATAATAAGGAGAAAGTATGGCTCTGCATGCTGTGTTGCAAAGTCCACTGCTTTACATTTTAGTTTTGTCTACACACCCGGTATTGGTTGCAAGAAACTTCATTCCCCCTCCTCCCTTATTCCCCTCCTCCCTTATCCCCCTCCTCCCTTATTCCCCTCCTCCCTTATTCCCCTCCTCCCTTATCCCCCTCCTCCCTTATCCCCCTCCTCCCTTATTCCCCTCCTCCCTTATTCCCCTCCTCCCTTATCCCCCTCCTCCCTTATCCCCCTCCTCCCTTATCCCCCTCCTCCCTTATTCCCCTCCTCCCTTATCCCCCTCCTCCCTTATCCCCCTCCTCCCTTATTCCCCTCCCCCTCCTCCCTTTATTCAGGTGGCCAAGTGGGTAGGAGATATATTCAACCACGGTCTCTATGACATTCACGTAGAGTTGAATAAGACGCCACTACTTGGCTGGGAATCACCTCACCGCATGGAGAAGTAAGACGAATACGGCTGTAAAATTTTGAAGATAGCATTTTCAAGACCTTCCTCAATGCAAGGATTTTTGGCGATAGCATAATATGATAGCAGGTTATGACCCTCGGTTCCTGCTGTTTATGTGGTGTTTGTCTATCATGACTGCCATATTATACCTATTTACATGTACACTTGACTCACAAGTTGAAGGTGACAACATTCAACTGACCTACGTATCTAACATGCTTCACGTGCCATTACTTGACATGTACACCTCTCTCTCCCTCGACAGACTGACGGCAGAAGACGTCATGAACCCAGACCTAAAGTACCTCTACCCCATCACACGTGTCGGGAGTATAGTGAGTCAACTCCGGACCACGGCCCACAGTGCCTTCCTGATCGTCACTCCGGTGTCTCTGGACAAGGTCCACCAGAAACCGCAGACAATGGCTCACCACACGCCTCAGCTCTACTCCAGGAGGGAACCGCGGGAACATGCCCTCTCCATCGATTCTGGTACTGCATACGTACGTACGCCGTTTGGGTTTCAACTGAGCTGTGTAGTTGGGTTTGTCTGTGTGTGTGTCTGTCTGTCCGTTACCCAACATCTCACTTCGCGCACCATGAATTGCTCCACAAACAATACCACGTATTCAGCGTCGGGTATAGGTCGAAACATATGTAGGGTTTTCTCTGAAACTGCTGCATTCGAGAGTTACGGCGTGAAAACCAAGTGAACTAGCCAATTATGCAATAGCACAGGTTTACGTCAACCAGAACTCTTGCTCTGCGTACCTTGCAGGCACCAGAAGTTGCAATGCAGGGTGTGTATCGACTCTCGCATGTTATCTAGTAGTGTAGCTAGCAACTCTGTGCGACCTGGTAGGAGCTCGAGATCACAAGTCAGTATAAGGCCCAACCCATCAATTAGGAGTACCACACGTGCGTGTACACTTCTGTGTGCGCCTTTCTTTATGCAGTCTGTTTGCGCATAACATACGTATGCCTGTTGTTTAGCAAAAAAACATGGCAAATGGACAGCGAAAGATGTGCCTCACTTGGTAGCATGCTTACCTCGTCTGGAGCCTTTCACAGAAGTCTGTGTAGGTCGGTCTTCCTCAACTTTGCTTACATGGAACCCTTCTCTAGTGAGCGAGCACGTCTGCGCTGAGGGTTTGCACTTTAAAGTGCTTGTCATTTATACCAGGTGGTCGCTATAAATGTACATCAATAAGCTCAGGTGTGCCAATTAGCAGCACCTCCAGCAATAACACACTCCTGCGAGCGCTGGTTTGCATTTTACACAAAATGAAGTCTTATAGAAAATGATCCCATTGGACATAATTATACTACCCACAGACGTGGAAGATGCAAATCCCTCTCCCGTGACGGATGATTCCGACCCAGAAGCCTTCTCCAATCCCTTCTCCCTGTCCATCAACCACAACCACCCCGTCCCTTCCTCTGCTGTAGCTTCGCCTCCGGGGGTCGGAGGTCATCACCACGGCGACCAATACACCCACGCACGAGCCTACCCGACCATAGCGGAAGTTGAGGAGGAGGTTGACGGAGGAGGAGCGGGAGGGGGAGATTTGGTGAACAGTCTGACAGTGACTCTGCCTCTCCCGGAGCACAGCAGGGGGCAGGGCATCCAGCCGTCGCAGAGACGGAAAGACGAGCAGCGAGTGTTGGTTTTCCACGGGATTATCCTGCGATCACAGCTGGTGACTCTCCTCCAGAACAAGATATTCTTCAGCGAAGGAGAAGGGGTGAGCATTGTCTGAACTTTCTTCTTCAAAGTTGCAGGAGGAAGAAGGCATTTGCAACCTGTTGGGTGGTCCTATCATACCCATACATTTGCCTGCACCTTTGACTCAAAGCTGCATCATGTAGCATGGCTGTACAGCTATCCATGCACTGTTTATGCACTTATAAAACTCCTAATCTCTCCTTTCTGCCGTGTGTGTGTGTGTGTTGATCTCTGCAGTCCCAGACACAGCCAGACATAGACCATCGGATGTTGTCAGAGAAATATCCTCGGTATCCCAGCGTTTTTGACGTGTCGGTCAGCGAGGACGACAAGAGAATGCTGATGGTGGGTGGGCTATGTATATACCTGTTGGGGGGTTGCTCCCCTTGATAAAATCTTGCCCTCCTTGAGTTAGAGTGAACCTTGTACACACTGACACAGGGCTTTTCTTCTCCTCTTTTAACCCCTTTGGATGCCATAGGTATCTCCTTAAATAAGCAGAAAATTGTGTATATATAAAGTATTAGCGCCTAGTACTACATATAACCCCCATATAAATTCTTATGGACGGCTCTGAACACATTGTTTTGCACATAGAGACTGATTTTTAACATTTTAGTCCATTACTCGGTCATACTACATGCTGAGAAACGAAATGATCAACAATCTTTTCTGATTAAAGTGATCAGATTAGTACCGAATCATGTGACCGTCACGTGACTAAGATGTGTATTCTTCCTCTCTCCCATCACAGGATCTGTCTGTATTCATGAATCCCTCTCCCTACACCATATCGTACCAGGCTCGTCTGCCTCAAGTATTTAACCTCTTCAGAACCATGGGCCTCCGCCATCTCCCCATCATGCAGGACTCGGGAATTGTACGTTTAACCCTTTGCTATCTATGACTATAAAAAGCCAAACTGTGATGTTCTAGAAGTGCGGGTGTGCACCTTAGATGATCGTGCTCACTAACAAGGAGTTTGTTGTACCATTAGCATTGTAGAGAGTCGCAATTTTCAGTAGAATCGGTTTTTACCAATACGTCTGAAGTATTATACTGGCAGGGAAAGTTGAGGTTATGTACATAATACGAAAAGAGTCCTTCCCTACTTGTTTTTGATATAGTGGGCCATTTATGAGGACACCCCCCACTTCCTCCCTCGTAAAAGGTTTCCTTCCAAATAGCAAAGCTACGGCAACTTTTAGTGGTTAGATATCTACACATTGAATTCTTAGTTTGGTGTAATTATATACCCTTCACAGATAATCTAGAATTCACTGCACGTGAAGTCGTTTTTACTGTCACATACGGGCATCGTGTCATTCCCTACGGCCTATACTCACATTCACTCCATTTTCTTGACATTGTGATTGGCATTCCTATGTACGCACAAACATGTTAGCTCACAGAATCTGTGCCACCTGTGTTTTTATCTCTCTCTAACTTACTTCACACAGCCTACAGTTGTTTACATAATGAAGTGTCTGCAGTAGCATTTCTATTGCTCAAGACCAGATGGGATTACACCACCTCATTATAACTATGTAGCTGAGGATTCTATAGTGTAAACTTGTACTAGGTGTAAATACTTATGCTTTTCACACTTCCTAACAAAGTAATATTGATACGCTATTCCCTGGACGATGTAATACGAGCCTAAGTCACTTGGCAGGCTTTCTGATGTTTTGGCTAATATTATGGTGATTTCACGTCTTAGTAGGCTAATAAGTGTTGTATAATAATCATGAAACATTGGGCATAATTCTGCACATCAATGACATGTGCTAAAACAACAGCATGCACAAGCACTGCATACTTCCAACCTTGGAATTTGCCCAAGTGTAATTGACAATTCTTCTTTACATTTGTCCAAGTAACTGAAGTTTCCTCACTTTCCCCAGGTGGTGGGAATCATAACAAGGCATGACCTAACACACGAGCGGCTCCATGAACTGAGACACCAGAAAAAGATCAGAGAGAGAGCAACACAGAGAGCTAACAGGAGACTGCGTCGCAACAGAAGAAAAAGAGGCGGCTATTCTGGCTTTAGTAATCCTCAAGACCTGATGGCCTGACTCTATTATGTACCATCACTTTATGAGTGTTTTTTTTATTGTATGGTGTGGCCGTGGGCACAGAAGTACAACTAGTGTGTGACACTATTCTGGTATCGATATCCGGTAGAGATATCCGGTAGAGTGCGTGGGTTGTTAATTTACTTGCGGTGTCCGCGCGCGGCGTTTCTGGGTGGGCGGGGCACGTCTGCATAAAATCAATCCCCTGGCCGTAGTGATCGTATATAGCTAGTTATTCACGCCCTGTAGAGTGCAACGGTAGTGCAGGCATAGCGAGATGCCCCCCGTTCGGCGCCGTCCACTGGGCATCTTCCCCCGTGAGATTACCTGGCACGTCGGCAGCGACGACTTCACAATTCCGTCCCTCTTCGCCATCGTCTCCCGGCTCATACTGTGAGTTTCATGCAGTCATGATGCAAGGCGGGGTTTTTGTAAGACAGTTTACCCCCGTATACCGCAGCAGCTTTGTCCGGATTAGGTTTTTGCATATTATATTTCTTGCACTAGCTATAATATAGAGCCGCAGTTTCTGCTATACTTACATGTACAGCGTGACCGAACAGGAAGTTTCTTCTAGCCTTGTAGCTAGTCCTCAAAACGTGAGTCTTGCAAGTCAGATCCCTCCCGCCTGAGGGGTTTTGGCCTGCGATCTATAAGTCAGTGGCCTCTGTTGCATCTTACACACACACACAGGTTGGGTCTCACTCTGGGCACTTTAGTCTACCTTCTTTTCCCAACTGACTGCGAAGACGAAAGTGCAACAATCCCTCCACTGTTCTTCATCTCCCTGTCTATCTTCAACGTGGTTCTCTTTTTCACCATCGTGAATGAAGGAGTCATAGCCTCTCTCAGTCTGAGGGGGCGGATCCAAGACACGGCCAACACCCGAAAGTACTTTCCATGTGCCGTGGAAGTCCGTGTGGTACTAATGGTCATCGAAATACTCACACTCATAGTCACAAGTGTTGGAACTTTCGACGGCAGTGTAGGTGGGAACGCAATTGAATGTGATAGCTATCGTGACGGGCCACTGGTATTTGCCAAAGTGATTGTCTCCTTGGCGTGGGTACTGACACTAGCTCTGGGAGTGGCGTTGGTGATTGGTCTTGACCCCCTCGGGCTCTGCTCCCCTTCGTTCATTGACGCAATTAAAGACTCGGAGGACCTTGGAAAAGAACTGGACGAGGAAGGATTCATTGTTCCTGGGAAAATTGGACATGACGAGTGAGTCCCTGCTTTTTTTGTCGTTAATGTGTGAAGACTTACATGTGGTGTATACTCCATTGCATTTGGTACTTTCAACCAAAAATGGTTTAAACCACTGGTTTATAGTATGCCTGTTTGTGAGTTTAGACCAGTAGTGTGATAATTAAGGTGTAATTGGAAAATGGGATTTTACCAGTACACAATAGCAGCGTAGTTGCTAGAAGCTCTGGAAACTGTCCCGCATTCTATATACCAAGAGAACGGATTTGGATCCCGCGTCCCAGAAAAAGCTCCAAAATCCCAGACTTTGCTTCTGCGTTTGCGTGCTGGCGTGTTACGTAGCCACCAAGTCTGACACCTGCAGTGTTATTCACTGCACTGCTGTGTGCACCCACCTGGCCTCTATTATTGCGAGAGGTGGGGTTGTAAAAAACAGTGCAAAGCCAGGCCACCCCAGTAGCATAACGTGTTTTATGTGCACAAACATACAATGTCCTCTGGTGATGAGATCACAAAAATCACAGCTGGATATGAAGCACAGCCTCATACCCTCTAGGTTGGCAACTTTGGTGGCAATATAATTATTAACCCTCGGCGCGCATGCGCGAGGGTTACTGTAGTTGTCTTGTGTGTCTGTCTGTGTATATGTTACCGCTCTAGCTGCTTCAGCGTCCATTTATATCCGCAAGCAACCATACACACGGGTTTCTCGTAGGCTTTTCTTGGATTTTGACTCGTGGATTTTCCAAAAAACCTTCCGTTCCAAAGTTATGCCGTGAATGAGTTGCAGCTCACCGCGAGCCGTTTGTGCACACTTTCGGGACCAACGAAACGCAGCACCTACTCGAATGACAACTGGAATGTTGCTTCAAAGACAAGCTATTGCGGCCAAAGACAAGCTATGCTAGATGAGACTGGCTTACCTCGACCTGATCCGCTTGCTCTGTGTACCTCGGAGGCACAAGAAGCCACAACGAAGGGCGTGTATCGACTCCCGCATGCTATCTACTACTGTAGCTAGCCCGTGTCAGACTCTCCGCGAGCTACTCTAGCGGGAGACCACGAGTAAACGCATACACTAATAGCCCAGCCCATCAATTAGCGGTACCGCGCATGCGTAGTTCGCCGAGGGTTTGCACTGAGTGTTTTTCATGCATTTATTACTCCCTTCGTACGCCTTGTTTATCATTGCACTTGTGTTTTTTCCCACACAACAGACCGTGGTCGGCCGACGTAAAAGCGTTCCCGCTGGCACACACTCGGGCGCACCGAAAGATATTCCGTCGTCTACAACCCTCTTTGCGTGTGTCAGCAGTAACAGATCCTCTGGTTGTAACGCACATGCAAGATGCTGCAAGGCTCTGCACACGGTGTGTGGTGACCTCGATATCGTCCCATCTGACTGGTTGCAGGACTCATCTGCTCACGAGACCGAGACGAAGAGAGAAACTGCTCCTGTCCGGTCTGTTTGAAGGGCGAGTAGAGTCAAACATAAACTCTGTTTTTGTACAGTCATCTTTGTTGTTTTCTGAAGCTGATAGTCTTATATACACATTCTATTCATTAGCGACCAGGAAGGCTCTGCGAAGTCATATAAAAGAACCTGAGAGACGGTAGTTGATAATTGAATAACATCGGCATAATCGGATTGTAACTGTCCTGCTCAGCACGAGGATGGTGCTCACCGATTTAACTCACTGTATCTGCACTCCTACAATCACTCTTTCATACATACCAACCTGCAGATAAACCTTTGCTGAGAAATGTGTGACAAATGTGCTGAATTGGAGTAGTTTTGCTTGAAAATGCAGCATGTCCATATCACATGTATGCATCACAGGTAGACACAAAAAAGAGGGATTGGCGATTTTCTGGTGATGGTGTAGTATGCTCTTACATCTCTCTCTTTCGCACCTAAGTCATCGTGTAGTGATATATACATTATTTTAGAGGCTGACATTTTGTGAAAGCCCATTCCCCTCAAATGTATGCCTCTGTCACTATTTTTTCTATAATATCGACCTATGTCATATCCACAGCTGACGTTGACTACATGCAAAAGTTGCAGAAACCAGAAGGACTACGTCAGACAGAAGCAGAGCCACCTCCACTTGTGATGACCCTGTGAGATTTTAAAACCTTTTTTGTCTTGCATTAGCCATACTAGTACGCTCGGAATCAAGCAATCTGAGAAGATGGGTGGTTGAAAGGTGCTGCCTGTAAATATGATGCCTCCTGGGAATATGTAGCAAAAGTGTGTTTGCCAATAGATAGCTGATGGTTGCAAATAGATAGCTGAGCAATCTGATGTAACAAAAGTCCCCCTTTCTACCTCGCCCAAGTTACAAAAGAAAGACATAAAGTCTGTGTAGGACTGTGACATATCACCTACGTACTACCTGGGAATAGCATATTAATTTTATTGTCTTCAAAGACAGTATAATGCTCATTAGGTCGTATAATAACTCTAAGTACCTGGGGATAGTAAACTGGTAGTACTGGTAGTACTTGGTAGTACTTGGTAGTAATTGGTAGTTTAAACCTGTAGTACTGGTAGTATTGGTTGACTTGGTAGTTACGTGGTAGTTACTGGTAGAGCGCTGGCGGGTAGTAACAGTTGCTAGTAGACTTAGCGCTAGTAAACTGTAGTAAAATGTAGTACTGTAGTAGAACAGGTGGATAACACTGGTGGAGAGTAAATCGACTTTTCAGGAGCAGGATTGTATCCGAGTAACATGATGTCCGATGACGCAAGGACCCCGTTGACCAGAGACACACAACAGTAGGTGTGTGTAGGGTATTTTAATGACTATTACGCACCCAGCAGCGACACGGAGGTGACAAGTAAGAAAGCAAACGCAGCACAATAAGAAGCAGGTGGAAACAAATAGGGCTTATGCGATATGAACCACTTCGAAGGGATTCTCAGTTGATACTGTAAACGACGAACATAGCATGTCGATGATTGTTAGGTGATTACTATGTATTACTATACGTTTGTTCCACTGGTCGACAATGTGGAGGTTCACGCGAAAAACAGTTATGAATTCTTAGTGTTGTTCTCTGTGTCCGTTGGGGGGCTGCTGTTTGAAGTGATCCTACCACACCTGGGTTACGTATGTTATGGGGGATGTAGATGGGGCTGGGTGCTTCTCCATGTCTTCCCAGAACCCTCTCACTGGCCTCTTCCAATTCTCGCCGCCCCAAACAATGGAATGAGAGCACACACTTCCTGTCTTTGAGGAGGAAGTGTGGTTTGTATTGACACTCAGTATTGTGAACACACCTCAGCATGATGCGGTCCCTAATACTTGGTTGGCATCGAACAGACGATTAACGAACGTTAGCACCACCGGACAGTGCATGTGCGGACAGAGCGATAACACCAAAACACACATTAGCGGACTGTACGAAAAGAAAGCGCGCGCGCACGTATCCAGCGAGCACTGATCACGCACTCAGCGAGTGTGTAGTGACAACAACATGATGTCGCTGCGTGACAGAGATGAGTATTATACACACCAGACACACTCAGAGCTGTACACAGCCCATGCTGGTACATACGTACGTGTAGGTACTTTTGAACTCATCCTATGGTATAGAAATCCATTATAGCGTCACCAACAGCACGTGACCGATTTTATAGTCTTGAACCCTGGCTCTGGCTACAGTAGGTATGTGCTCGCCAGTGCTCTAACTAACTTTGCATGCAGATTTCTTCACACGTTTGCCTAGGAAGCAGAGTGTCGTGCGGTCAAATTCCACCTAGGGCAGCTCTCTTCTTTCCTTGGAAAAAGGAGTGTCTGTTGCGGGTGGAGTTGACTGTTGCTTTGCCTGCCTTGCTACCTCGTTTAGCTTTGCACTCCCATTTCATCTCTCCTCTCCCCTTTCTAATAATTATTATTCCCTCCTCCCTTGGTTTTGGACTATCTCCCTCCCTCCCTCCCTCCCTCAGTTGTCGGTGTAGTTACCGCTGCACCCACCCCAGAGCAGGAGTGGACATAGTGAATGAAGACAGGTGTCTCTGTGGACTGGCCACCATGAGGAATACAGACCAAACGATCATGAGGAAACATTGCTATGCCTCATACAAGAATGATGTACGGACACACGCACGCAACACACACCACAAACACACGCACGCACGCACGAGCGTCGACTGAGCGCGCACGCACACTGCAACGCACACGCCACACGCACACGCACAGCACACGCACACGCACACGCACACGCACACGCACACGACACACACAAACACCAACCTTATATAGGCCATAATGAAACC